AGAGAGAGAGAGAGAGAGAGAGAGAGAGAGAGAGAGAGAGAGAGAGAGAGCACATGACTTCACATGCAAATGCTTTAAATTCCAGATCTCTTTTGCAGGCATTCACAAAGCATTATGGGACATACAATAATATTGCAATGCAACAGATAATTAAGTGTAGATGGTGACCCACAAGTCGCTTATCAAATTAATTGTATCGACGATATGGAGTTCGATCGTGTCATCACTTAATATTGCCAGCATAACAAGCTTGATAAGGTACAAAATGCTATTCAATTTGTTGAGGGGATTGCAATGTATCCATCTATCTATCATGTCACACAGATAAATTGCAATTTACCCACGATTAAATGAAACTAACCGCTCGTGAGCTCGACTCGTTAAGGCTCGAGTTTGGCTCGACTCATTTGATAAACGAGCCGAACTCGAGTTTGGAGCTCGGCTCGATGAAGCTCGTTAAAGCTCGAAAATTGAGTATATATATAATTAATTGATATTTCGTCTCATTAAAACATGAGATCGGCTCGAAAACGAGCCGAGCTAAAGCCCGATTTCTGACTCGTATAATTAACGGGTCGACTCATTAAAGACTAGAGCACGAGCACGAGCTCGGCTCGTTTAATTCACATGGCTACCCACAATTTACATGCCGAGCGAATGAATTCAAGGCTTAATAGTGGATGTATGAAATAAAAAACTAATATGTTATGTATTACTTAAAAATAAAAATAAGTTATAACTATGATGATTCACTCAATAGAATCTGACAGCAAGATGAAATAAATCTATATATTTTTGTAATAAAGTTATGACAAGTTTCACAATACGTGTATCAAAAAAGTATATTGAGAAATATTTCTCAAGGGAAAGAGAAGAAAAGCAAAAGAAAAGGGCATCAGCCATTCAAGACCAAAGAAAGGAATCATAAAAAAGAGTACTATACTTTCTAAAGTGACAAGGCTGGTATAAATGCCCCCACCTAACATAAAATTAAAATCTACAGCTGCATATGGACTTTCCAGGACTGAAACTGAGAACCAACATATATTAAAAAGAGCCGTCTCGAAACATACAGGACTGAAAATGCAATTTACTCAATTTTAAAAATTATAAAAAACGAAAGTTAAATATACCAATATTCTAAAGAAAATTCTCAAAAAAGTCTTAAAAAATTTCGGAATGGATTCATTTTCATCAGATCTGGTACAAATTATGCCGCATAATAAGTATATAAAAAATACACAAAGTAAAAACTCTCACCCTTAAAAAAGTTTAAAAAATTACTGCCTGGTCATGACTCAATCAGTAGAGCTTTTTATTCATGGCTACCACTACTGAAACTGAGGCTTATTTAACTTATGTTTGGTTATTTGGATAGTTGAATCAAGGAATCTAATCCCCCATAGTAATATAAAGAGCCAACAGTTGGCTCCGTTATGGAGCCAACAACCAATTGGATAACTCCATGTGGGGCTGTCCCACATTAAAGTATTGTGGGTCAGCCCCATCTGGAGTTGTCTCATTGGTTGTCGGCTTCGTAACGGAGCAAACTGTTGACTCTTTAACATTATTGGTAATATAAATATACTGCAATCACGGCTTCTTAAATGGTGCCACAAATCCAAATCAAAAGTCAAAACCAGAAAGCTATATACTTTTGTAACCTTGCACCAACCTATTTGCAGCTGATATAATTATTATTTTATATTGTTTCTAATTATTTTGGTCTGGGTATTCATCAGACCAGATTTGTTCACTTACAGCTAAGGCAACACAAAAAAGACCTCACCTCTTAAATCTTACTTTCTACTTTCAGACCAAAAAAGAAAAGAAAAGGGAAAAAAAAAAAAAAAAAGGCCTCTAAGGTTTTTCATGTGTAATATCCAGATAAGATGTTCAAGAGAAGTGAGAAAAAGATCAAAGCAGTCTTCAAGATGCAATTTCAGGCAACACAGGTATGTTGTGAGGTTTGAGTTAACAATGTGGGAGACAAAAAAAAAAAAAGCTTGTCTTAACTAATTAACTATCATAACTAAACTACAAGGACCACAAAAAATGCAGTTCTGTTTTTAGCTTAAAATGTTAGAAAAACTTACCGGTGGTCGGATTTCGTTTGCTTCGAAAATTATCAGGTGCCGCAGCTGAAATCGAAAAAGCTGATGATCTCTCTAGTCCCGGTAGATGTAGGAAAACCGACGGTCAGGCTAGCGAAAGTGCCGATTGTCGAAGGAACCTGCACGTGGGAAAGCCCGGTTTATGAAACAGTGAAGTTAGTCCAGGAGATTAAAACAGGACGAATCAGAGAAAAATTTTACTATGTGATTGTGTCGACAGTAAGTTACACAGAAGAATTGCTGATTTTATGTAGCCTGATGGAAACAGATAAATAAATAATATAGTAACAGCAATAATTTGGTAAAAATTATCACAGGGGTCGTCAAAAGCCGGCTTTTTGGGAGAGGTTTCGCTCGATTTTGCAGATCTAGCAGAGGCTACCAAACCATTGAATTTAACTCTGCCTTTACAGACGTCGAAATCTGGTGCAATATTACATGTTAGTTCTTTCTCGATTGTGATATGTTTTGCAATGCAATGCATAGAATTTCACAAACAGCAAAAATCCATCCTAAGACTAGTTTACAATTACCAGGTCACAGTTCAGAGGATGCAAGGACGTCTTGATTCAAGGTGGTGTAAATAGCAGAAATAATCGTTGTCGTCTCTTTTTGTTACGAAGTTATACACGACCATTAACAAAAAGATAACAATGACAATGCATTTTTCTGTTTTGAAAAATATCAGACATGATGATGATAGTGAAGCACCAGAGGCAGAGGATGAATCAAATGATCGAAACATGGATTCCTATAGTTTTGACAAGAGAAACCCGAAATCTCCTAATGTACGATTTCCTCATTTTTCTTTTTTAAAAATCCATGTTTAATTTTGCAACCAAAAAAATATTTGGATCTTTGAAGATCTCTTGTTTCTTGTCTAATAGAGTGATGACTTGAGTGAAGCGTCAACTCCGCATGAAGAACAAAATGGAAGCTTAGAAGATGGTTTATCAGATCACAACTATGCCGAATCGAGAGATGGAGTAAGAGAAACTTCGAATAATAATACTTCAGGAAGGTTGACCAATCAAATGAAGATGCTCGAACGGAAGGCAGAACTTGCAGAGTTGGAAGTGCACTCCCTACGCAAGCAAATTATGAAGGAAACACAAAGAGGGCAACAATTGGCTGAGCAAATTGTTCGTCTAAAAGAGGAAAAAGATGCCCTTAGAGCAGAATGTGAAAGTGTCAAATCCTCAACAGCAACCAAGAATGAGGAGGAAGCATTTTCTGCTCCTACACAAAAAGAGATAGGAAAACTGACGAGCTCGCTCGACAATGTCAAGCAAGAGCTCCAACGTCAGAGAGATTTGAATAAGAAATTGAAGTCACAACTACAAAAAGCAGAAGATTCAAATTCAGAATTTGTTCTTGCAATGAGAGATCTCAGCAAAAAATTGGACCAGAAAAATACGGAAATATCGCGACTCTCCAGCAAAATTAAGTCCCTCCACAGTGGATCAGATGCCTTGTTTGAAGCATCACCCAGAACAAATGGGAGCTTTAATGAGGATAGCAGAGCTTCGGATGATTCGGCCAGCAAAGGTGGCAATATTGATGAATTAGAAAAGTTGAAGCAGAAAATTGACGACCTCTATTCGGAATTAGAAGTTCACAAGAAAGAGAAAGCAGAGATACAAATGGATCTAGAGAGGCTTGCTCTGGATTACGAAAATTTAGAGATAGAGAACAAGGACATAAGCTCCAAAATAGAGCAAAATGAAAAGGAAAAGATGGAAATTCAGCAAAGTTATACTGAATCTTTGGCTACAGAGAAAACCCTTAAACTCCAGGTAGCAAGCTTGGAGAAAGAAAACAAAAGGAAGTCACTTCAATACTCGGAATCTCTGGATATGATTGATGAGCTCGAGTTCCAGGTCGAGAGCCTGCAGAAAGAGCTGGAAAGCCAGGCACAGGTTTTTGAGGACGGTCTTCAAGCATTAACAGAAGCAAAAAATGAGCAGGAACAAAAGGCCATTAGAGCCGAGGAAGCTTTAAGAAAAGCAAGGATGAGCAATAAAAATGTAACCGAGCGACTTCAGGAGGAATTCACTCAGATTTCTGCTGAGATGTCACTGAAAATCGAGGAGAACGAGATTCTAGCACAGGAAGCTATTAAAGGAGCTAATGATTTGCGCCAGAAGAATGAAGTTCTAGAAGAAGATCTCCAGAAAGCGAAAGAAGAACTTCGAATAATGAAAGACCAGTACGAAACAATACTTCGAGAGCGCCAGGAGCAAAATGATTCAATTGCTGGAACCAGCAAACAGTCTGAAACAATGGAAGAATCAGAGACATTCCAGAGATGGAAATCAGAGAAAGATGATCTGGAGAGAAGACTAGCTTCAGTGAGGATAGAAGCAGAAAACTTGATGCAGGAAAATGTTTCCATGAAGTCTCAGGTAGATCTGAAAAAAACAAAAGAAGATAACTTGCTTTTAGAAGTGAAAAAACTAAGAGTCAAGAACAATGAAGTCAGAAGTCTTATGCTCGAAGTACAGTTGGAGAATGAAGGCCTGAAGAAAGAGGTGTCCAAATTGCAGGAGAGCTTACACAAGCAGGAACAGGTATATACCAGTCCATAAAAAACCATAAACTGATCTAATGATAAATCGAGATCAAATTTGAGAGGAATGATTGCAATGATTTCAAAAGTATTTGTTGCTTTCTTCTGACATTATTTCAATGAAATTTATTTGAAAGAAAAAAAAAATGTTGAATTATCAATCTAAGAATTCATGAGCATTTCACATCTATTTCTAACTCGACACGAGTACAATAGAATTTACATAAATTGACATCCTAAACAGCCTAAATATTATGAACTCATAGTTTTTTTTTCATATATTTGAAGTTGCTTGAACAATTTTAGAAAGGTGTTAGTCTGATGTAGCAAACTCTTTTGCTAGTAAATGGTAAGTACTAACGTTAGTTCATTTGACAGGAAAAGGAGAGAGCTGCAAAACAAAGATCTTTTACTTCACCACTGAAGGAAAAGAGTATTAAATACAATACCGAAGAAGAGTGGAACAGTGTGGAAAGAGATTGCGTACAGGCTGTCCCTGCGAATCAATTGCAACAGGTTAGTATGTTAACCGTAACAACAGTATGGTAAATGCCTACGGAACAGAACTATGACAACTATATTTAACCGGACATCTCAAACTTGTTACAAAAATCCATGTCAAAATATTGTCTGCAATAATAAACCATTGAAACTCCATGGTTGTCTTGGTTTAGCCGTTGAAAAATGAAAGACAAAAGTAAGGACTAACGACAAACATACTAAATATTAGCATGCTTTAAAACAAGTTTGAAAGGAATAAGCAGTTCAACTTTCCTCGGTTATACTCAATTTTAATTATGTGGTTGTATTGAAAAGAGCATTTAAATTCGCTACAGGAGACTATGCCAGCAGACCATACTGGAAAGTATGCTTTACAAAAGAGTGAGCAGTCTGAATGTAGTTGTGATGGTTCCAGCTTGTTAAGCGAAGTAGCATCCTTGAAGGAAAGAAATAAAAGCATGGAAGACGAATTGAAAGAAATGCGTGACAGATATTCAGAAATAAGTCTCAGATTTGCAGAGGTAGAAGGTGAAAGGCAACAACTTGTCATGGCCGTTCGTAATCTGAAAAGTGGAAAAAAAAACTAGCTGCATGGAAAATGGGAAATGTGAAAGACATTATAGAGAAAATAAGAGCAGCGAACATGACATGTACATCAATAATTCATATCCCTAATCATATAATTCTTTTTTTTTTTTTTTTCTATCTCTCTCCATGCCTCAGTATATTTCACCAACAATAGCATCCTCAATTTTGACAGCATAGACATTGTGAAAGTTGCAGTTCACGTTTGGAACTGTAAAGGTGTATTGACAAGAAAAACAAATAGGTTATTGAAACAAATGCAAGGGTAGAGAAACCAAGGACTGGACACTCAATATCTCTGCTTGTCGCAATAATTAAAATATCAACAATATCAGGGAAAATAAATAAATAATTAATTTTGGGGAGACCAATGTGACACCGAAGAAAGATCGGTGTGCAAGAGAATATGAAGGTCAAGGTGCATATTTGTCTGATAATAAAAAGTGGTTTTCATCGTCCAACAGCATAAACACCATGCATCTGCTCCTGATTTTAGGAAGTTAACTCAATATCCGTCTTCACAAACATAACTAAATAAGAGTCCAAAAGTCAACCTCCTTGAAAGAGCAATGTTTGTCCCATTTTTGTTGCGTTTTTCGTTGTCATTTTGTCTTTCTTTTTCCCCCATGTTAGGTCTTTTAGTTAGTTTTTAGTTCATTTTGTCGTTTATTGTGTGTTTCGCTCTATTTCGATTTTCTTTGTGTTTCTCGTGTATTTTTCCGGTTTTTCTTTGTTTTTGGTGTGTAGGTCGGAAACCTTGAGAGGATCGGATTTTAAGCGAAAATTTACCGTGCAAGCATAATAATATAGAGCGATTCGTAGGCGTCGCACAGGAGGAACCGAAAACAAATTCCGAGCTCAAATGAGTTCAAACAGCTCGAGACATGAAGACATGCACGGGCCCGAGAGATTGCACGTAAGCTCACAGCTCCCAGGCGTCGCGTCGAGCCCTTCCCACGACATGGACAGAGGGTACGTTGTGCCGCCCCGCGGCAGCCATCGCGCCGCGGCGCCTGCTGTTTTCCACGCCCAACCATCTCGTGCCAGCCCCGCGCCGCGAAGAGTCCTCCTGTCGCGCCCGCGCCGATGTCCCGCGCCGCGAAGCTTGCACCTGCCGCGCCGCGTAAGCGCCCCGCGCCGCGAAGACTCCTCCTGCCACGCCGCGATGGAGTGCCGCGCCGTGAGGACAACATCAGAGAGCTCCCAGGTGTCCGCCATGCCACGCCGCGAAGCCGCCGCGCCGCGAAGCACGCACCTGTCACGCCGAGTTCATCCTCCGTGCCGCGGCAGAACCAGCCCCCGCGCCGCGATCACCCTCCACGCCGCGACAACCACCTGTCTCGCGCCGCGGCATACCATCGCGCCGCGGTACCTGCCCTTCTCCGCGCCGTGATAAGACTTTCGCCCCGTGGCCTGCCAACATCATATAAATTCCGCACGGGACTTCAGAAAGGAGATCATCTCTCTCGACCGGGGGTAAAACCCTAGGTCCGGAAAACACCACTCCTCTCTTCTCCTTCCTTCTCTTCTTCTTCTCCGATTTTTCTTATTCTTTTTACCTTTATTTTCCATTAATTTTCCTTTTTCTTCGGATTAAGCTTGTACTACGATTTCAACACGTGGACTTGGGATTGATTGTAAGCCTTTCTTCTTCGATTAATTCATGAATAATGGTTGATTTGAGAAGAATAATTATGTGTTTTGAATTCGTTCTACGTAGCTAATCCTTCATGCTAGGGATAGGGGATTTATTGTTCTTGTTCATTGTGTAATTGTCGGGCTTGATTTGTTCATTCTTATGTGCGTTGTTTTGATAAGGAATTGATGAGTTTGAATTCGATAGATTGATATAATCGAAAAGTGACATTTCGATCTTGCTATTGGTAACAATTGGATGTTAGTTTGTCGAGTTAGGGTTTGTCGATTCTATATGATTAGTTGATTAAACACCTTCTAATTGATTTAGCGGCTTTCAGAACCGAAAGGGGAGAAGTCGTAGAAATAGACTCGCATGAGGTAGATGATTTCGTAATTGAATAATCTATGTGTTTTAGATTGAAATACGAGCTTGTCGATGACTCGTCCCTTGTTACGAATAGTTATTGGGACTGGGATCATTGGCCTGTTTTGTATGCTTGAACTTGTTCGTCTATGTTCAATCCCTTGTTACGAAGAGTTATTGGGAGCGAACCGCTAGACGTTTAAGCGAGAGTGTCAATCTGGAACCGAACAATTGATTGCCTGACTTTGCTAGAACTTGAATTAATTATCCCCGATTCCCTAGCTTCTCCATCTTCGCTCCATTCATACTCTTAGGTAGATTTACATTTTTGCATTGTTATTTATTTCTTAGTTGATAATTATTCACTCCCTTATTTGATTAGTATGTTTAGGATTTTCTTTGCTTTAATGTGTTATCAATATCAGAACTGAATTCCGAACCGCCTTCCTCGTGAGATCGACCCGGGGAACGAATCTTTAGATTCGGTACTCGGTAAAAATAATAATTTGTGCTACAACAAGCAATATAGAAAATGTTGAACTATTAGGACAATCTAAACTGTACTAGGCGCACAGACATGCAAAGTGGCAAGTGCACTCAATAGTTATCTATTGATGCACCAGTCAACACCAACATAGTTTGAGCTGCGCCAAAATCAGCTTTCAGTAAGTATTCGGGATAAATCTCATTTCTAATATAACTAGCAATAAAAGGTAACAGGTACATACTTGAGGCTACAAACTTCTCTATGCAGTCTGGGAATGGTTATCCCTACGGACCAGTTTACTTTACCCTCCATTCCGTTCATCGAAAGTGATAGCATCTTCAATTGGTCAAAATCAGAGTAAGACCAGAGGCTCCAAAATATTAAGGTGATTAATTGGTTTACCCGTCTTGCTATCTCATCAGGCTTACCCGTCTTGCTATATCATCAACTGGAGTCCATGATGGAGAACAGCTAGCAGAGGCACTATTGTTCTTCAATGACTTTAGTGGTTGTGTAGATCTCTGTCTATCTTTTCCAACTTTTTTTCCTGTGGGGTGCTGCCCTTCATACTTATAGTGTTCAAGTGTTGAGGACTCTTCCTTTTGGTAAATTTTGATATATTTCCCGAAGAACTCCTTGCAGAATAACCTTTCTCAGGGCAAATGGAAAGCTAGCAGAATTTCCAGCCGTGAAGTGTAAGTCAAACTGAGGCATCCACGGCTTCTCTTTCTCCTCTGATATATGAAGAGCTTTAGTCAATGGGAAACCTTGAAAGCTTAATTTCATTCATTATCCGGACACCAACCAAGTAACTTGTCATTAACACACAAACCCAATCGGTGCAGATTTATCCTACATCTCAGTACATCCTGATGGCTAAGCATTCCACGGAGCAGAAAATTTGAGAAGATTAAGTTAGTCGTCTGGATTTAACTTCAGTGATTCAGTATGAAACAAATTATATCAAGGACCTAGATGGATTGACCATGGTGTCCCGTGTAACTTTTATATATAAACATCACAGTATATATATATGTATGAATATAACAGGTCCAGAATTTAGAGAAATAAATGGGAGTACAGTAGGAAAGTAAGTATGGATCAAAATGCTGGAAGTATGCTGGTCACTTTTTGAACTGATATAAGCATAACCTTGAGAAAATGAAAGATGCATAAAGAGAAAATGAATTTGGATGAGGCAATATAATGTTTTCAACTAATAACAAATATTAATTTTTTCTTCAGGCTTTTTGTTAACTCAATTCTTCGGATAATTTTAATGCACATGCTAATGGCACACATAGACAGTCACATGTTGGCGTGTCCCTATACAGATCAATCGATAGCTGGAAAGAAAAATTACCAACTGAAGAGATGTAATATCAACTCTGGAATTTCAAATTGCAGGAATCCAAGTCCAAAATCACCCTTACCATCACATGCTGTTCCATCATTCTCCTGAAATATAATGAAATATGATCTGACGAGTATCACAAGCACAGACTGTAGCAATGAGTATATTCATGAAGAGACAACTTATTGACACCTCAACCTACACTTTGTCACTGAGCTTATAAAGCTCTTATTAAACCGTGTGCTCGTCTACGAGTAGGATTGCATAAACTGCTATTGATTATCAAATATGTTGTCAGTTGGCTCTAGAATGCGACATACAAGTGAAGAACTTCTGTTATATGTGATTACATGAAAATCCAATTGGTAAATCCAAGTCCAATAATCCAATCTGACTACACCTATGGCTAAAGCACGACAAAATATAAGTTCTCCGAAAATACTGAATAAATCGGGACTGGCAGAAAAACAAATCTAGATGCAATTGCTCAAACATCACATACTCAACCAATTCAAAATCATCCTCCAGGAACCTTAACCAGTAAAAACACTTCTCTAGAAATAAACTCTGTCTAATAATTCTTAGCACGTCAAATCACCATAATTCCAATCATCATTGAGAATGGCATCGGTGTATAACACAGCCACAAGTCACTAATAACATCTTAAAAGAAGAAGGCCTTCAGCCGGAAATTCTACTTACCTCCGCGGACCGCGGTTATGACCTCGGAATTCCCCCCACCGCCGTCGATCCTCTTTTCCTCAAAACCGGCACCATCCAAGAAGTGAGGACGGACGTCGGACAAGAATACCGAGAGAGCATCGTCAATCAGCAGCTGCTCAGTTTCGATGCGGACACCGAAAACTGGAATTTCATCGAAGGACGGCGAGAATTTAGCAGAAGTTTCAGGTTCAGGTGCTGCGCCGGCGGCGAGGAGGCAATTGCGCATCGCGTGTGATGATTTAAGAAAAAAAATTATATATGCTGAATGGGAAATATGCATTTGTGATTTTGGCGGCAATAGCAGGAAATGGGCGTCTGGTATTCGCGGTTTGTCTTCTAGTGCCCTTCCCTGCGGTTTTGTACAGTTTATGACTATTTGATCAAAAATCGTGCTAAAAAACAAACTTCGTGCCTATAGTGGCTTGGACAATAACATACAAAACGATTAGTAAGAGTGTGTTTGTATATTAAATAAAAGTATTCCACAATTCATACTCAAAATTTAATTCAATTTTAAGTCATTTTTTATATATAATTTCTGAATGCGCTGAGCCTATGTGACTGCTTCTGGTGCTTCGGAATCCTACTTGGCAAAGAATCATGCTTCGTAATTAGGTTCAGATAAATAATATTGATATATTAATAATTAATAATCTAGGTTCGGGTATTCCAAAAATATTATTTAACTAACTTAGGTATTTTAATATCACTTGTACTAATATAACCTTTTAATTCTTTGTAATTTTATATATTGAGGCACTAAGTGACTAATATATCCCTGAATTTTGATTTCATTTTTTCAATAAGCTATTGAATTATAAATGTATTTTAAAAATTGATAACTTTTGTATTTCTTTTCGTTTTTACATATATAATATATCAAATTAATCATCTTTTGATGATCTTCGATTTGACATTCATATTGTATATATGAAATAAATAAATTAAATTTATCTTTATAATAATAATAATAAAATAATATTTATTAAAATTCATTAGAAAAATAAAATTATTTCTCAATTGATATATTTATATTTAATGTAGTTATATATTGTAAGTTAAAAAAAACTAGTCTAATATAACACATGTAAGTCGCACAAATAAGAAGTGTCATAATAAATATATAATAATATATATATTTTTATAAAAGGTATTTAAATTTTCAAACTACCTTTTCTCATTAATTTTAGATTTTAAGAAAAAAATTAGCAAACACCCGTGTAATACACGGGTGTTGTACTAGTTATCAATATTATTAAATAATATCAATCATTCCTACACATATTGTTATTAAATTAAATGAGTTTGCCTCGGCTCGACTCTATAATGTTCGTTAAGGCCCAAAAAGAGAATTTTTATGTAATTTTTTATTGTTCGACTCGTTAAGCATGAGCTCGAGGTCTTAACGAGTCGAGTTGTAGCTCGATTTTTAATGAGCTTAAGCACCTTAAGCTCGAGTCGACTCGTTTACAGTCTTACTTACACATTACATCAACGTTTAATTCACTATTCATTAATTCACATATTTTTAATTAATCATCACTTTTAATCATCCATCTATCTCATATTTTTATATCAAATCAAATTTAATTATTTTATTTTAATATAAACTCAAATCTACTGACAACTAACCATACCATCTTTTTTCAGATCAACAATAATTAATTAAAAAGAACTTATTTTGAGCAGATATATTTGTATTCAACCACCTCATCCTTATCGACCTTTTTTGTTTCTCTTCTTTAATGCATTAAGGCACACTTATTGACTTGAAAATCACAAAAATGCAACTACCAATTCATAAAACAGCAATAAGCACAAAAGAGGTTTTTGACTTGTTCAATATTTATCTTCACTTATTGACTTGAATCCACCCCTGTTTTTAAATTCAAGCTATTTTTTGTTTTCTTAACTACAAAA